AAGTGGGAGAACTTGCACAATTGGTGGCTGACTAAATACTTTTTTGCCCCACTGTAGGATCATGTTTCTCAATCTTTTCATTTTTACAATATAAAGACATTTCTAAAATTGATGGGGGACGTATTTCTTGTATCTACTACAGGAGTATGATTTTTTTCCATCTTCATAGAATAATTCTCTTTGCCCAGTTACAATGTTGACATCAACATTAATCATAATAATTAAACAAAATAGAAGGAGGGGAAAAAAGAAAGGTATGCTTGGCATTCTTCAGACTTCTATAAATATCTTTAAAATATAAATCTTTATAAATATAAATCCTTTTTAAAATATGGTTTCCAGAATTGGATAGATTACTTGAAATAGAGTCTGACCACTACAGAATATATATAATTTGTCTTTACCAGTTATCCTGATAGAAATCTCTTCTAGGTGTGCACATGAATGTTCAAAAAGCCTTGGAAAAGACTTTTTTTTAGATTTTTTTTTTAAATCTTGCCTTTATTATTTTTATAAATAACTCAAGGTGGTGAACATGCCCAATACTCCATCCTCCTATTTTCCCCACAACAACCCTGTGAAGTGGGTTGGGCTGAGAGAGAGTGACTGGCTCAAAGTCACCCAGCCAGCTTTCATGCCTAAGGCGGAATTAGAACTCACCATCTCCTGGTTTCTAGTCTGGTGCCTTAACCACTAGACCACACTAAACCAGCTATGCTGAATCTTGAAAGTACTTTGAGGAGGTAATCCAGATAGGTGCTTCTGTTGGCTAACCCTCCATTCTCTTATCTTTTCATCCAGGTTAATAATGAAAATGTAGAACGGTATTGAGATAAGACTGAATCCTCTGCCACCTTACTTGCTTTCCTAACTTAATGGCAGCCCTTCATTCTAGGCGAGAAGGTCAAGAAACAGATACTGCAGGGATTCCAGGAATGCTGTTTTATTGGTGTAGGGTATAATAAGAGAATCTTGAAAGCTTGTCAAAGTTTCACTATGTGTCCAATCTTATACTAAACAAAATCAAATGGAGTTATTTTGAGTTTCTTTCTCATGCTTGCTTCAATCTCTGGACTATGTATTGTTTTTCTGCTTGATTGTTTGTCTGGTGTTAAATAATAAACCACATTTACACACCATTCAGAAGAAACAGTAAAAAAGCTAAGAAGGAAACAAAAAGACCAGAACACATCCTCTCCAGCAACCAACACACAGATAAGCAGGGGTGAACATCAGACAAATAATCAAGCAGAAAACAATACCCTAAACAAGGAACTACCAAGGAGAAAACCACATCCCCACCAACATTGGCAGGGCAAGCTAGTGTATATAAACAGGGAGCAAACCCCACACTCACTAGCACTGATGATGTTATCTAGTTGGGTAATGCAAGCAAACAACCAAGCTAGAGAGCACCAAGGACTCCACATCTCTAAATTCCTTTATACCTGGAAATGTTTCTGTCAAGCTAAAGTTGGAATCCTGCTCCTTCAACCTTCTCTTCACAATTGAAAATCATGTCTTGCTCTTATAGGAGATTAAGTTAAAATAGCAGTAGTGTAAGAACATAAGAATAACCCAGCTGGATCAGCCCAGAATCCATCTTAGTCCAGCATCTTATTTTTCACACTGGCCAACCAGAAGCCTTAGGGGAACTAACAAGCTGAAGGTGGAGACATACTCCTCTCCTGCCATTGCTCCTATGCAATTAGAATTTGGAAACATACTACTCATGATTCCAGTGTAATACTGAGTTTTCAAGATTAATACCCCTTGGTAAATCTGTCCTCCATGAATTTATCCAATCCCCCTTGAAAGCTACCCAAGATTGTAGCTATCTCTGTATCTCATGGTAATGAATTCTAAAGGTTAATTATGCACTGTGTGAAGAAGTGCTTGCTTTTATCTATTCTAAATCTCCTTTCAGTCAGCTTCATTTGATGATCCCAAGTCCTAGTGTTTTGAGAACAAGTAAAAATGCTTTCCTGTTCACTGTCTTTTTCAAATGTGGTGACCAGAACTATACACAGTATTCCAGATTTGGATATACTGTAGATTTGGATAAAGAAATAACCAAGCAGTGCCCACAGACCATCCACTGCCAAGTCAGCAGAAACAGCAGAAGGGAGGAGAACCTTTGGGAGGAGATAACAGTCTCAAAAAGATTCTCAGAAATCATCCCACATCTGGGAGCATCAACTGAAACAATTGAGTAGCATGATTCTGGCTAATAAATTCAAAACAAAAAAATCAAGGCTGGTGTCTCCTCATCTTCTGGTGATGGGTAATTTAGGATTCAAGCTTTCAGGGATGGTTTGGGTGGGAGCTCAGGAATTCATGGCCTTTGTGGTCACCATAGGCTTGTCCTAAATAATGTCAGGCCCAACGCATACAGGCAGCCACTCTTCGGACAAATTCCCTTTTAGAGAAAGGACAACAGGTACATTTCCCACCTTTCTGTTACGATTGGCTTGCACGGCATTTTGGTGATAAAGTTGCTCAAACTCCATTGTGGTGACTGGGACAACATCTTGCCATTTTAAATGGAACTCCTGTCCTGTGGACTTTGATGGGATAGGGTGCTGTCAGCTGTCCACAGCCACTTCTCTATTTTTGGATGTTTGGAGGGAGCGTGACGGATTAGAACTGGGAGGTGGACAGTGCCTCATTTTAGCAGATGTAATGCCAGTAACTTTGTCAGAAGTTGTTCTTTGTTCCCTTCTAAAGACGCCCTTCCTGAAAAGCTCTATGACATCTATCATTTTGTCTGTAACCTCCCCTTTGGGGGGATGGTTAGCAATACCGTAGTTGGGATACAACTAAGAGCGCCCTACAAGATACAGATTATCTGGACCCTTTTCAATCAGGATTCGTATATGGACATGAAACAAGAAGTAGCACTGACTGCTGTTGTGGATTAACTTTTGTCATGTCTGGATGGGGTTAGTACGTCTTTTTGGACCTCTCAGCAGCTTCCCATATATATATACCGTCATATTTCTAGATGCCTGCAGGGGCTGGGGATTGGAGGCATTGGTTTACAGTGGTTCTTCTCCTTTCTCAGTGGATAGTTCGTGGGGGTGTCCCAACAGTTGCTCGCGTGTGGGGTATCACAGGGTTTAGTTCTTTCTGCTCTGCTTTTTAACATTTACATAAAACTGTTAGGAGAGGTCATCTGTTGGTTAGGGGTATGGCATCATCATCATTCTGATACTACCCAACTGTAGATCACTGTCCGAGGCTGTACAGGAGATGCAGTCAATATCTTGACCTTGGTTCTTGACAGGATGGCACTGCCCCTGAAGGAGCAGGCCCATGATTTAAGAGTCCTTCTGAATTCATGGCTATTACTGGATGGGCAAGTGAATCCCAGGGGGGGATTGCCCTGGATGGGCAAGTAATCCCAGGGGGGGATTAGCTGGTTCATCAGTTTGAGACCATATCTGTAGCTTGAGGATATCCTGACTGTAACTCTTGCTCTCATGTTTTGTTTGCATTACTGCAAGGCATTCTGTGTGGAGTTGCTTTGAAGAATACCTGGCAGCTTCAGTTGGTCTAAAATGCAGCAGCCCATTTATCGGCAGATACTCACCAACATGAACAGATTATATCTGTGCTCTGGGCCCTACCCTGGCTTCCCTATTAGCTTATAGTGCAATTCAGAGTGCTGGCTTTGACCTTTAAAGTTCAACATTGCCTGGCATCCACAGGACTGCCTTTTCTGACCAGTTTCAACTCTCATAAATCAGATATTCTGGGAGAACTTGCTTATGGTCTTCCACTTTCATGAGATGAGGCAGGGTGGAGGTTCATAAGCATTCCTTTCTGTTGGTATAGCTACATATTTATAATGTATTTATTGTCATTTTATGGATGTATGTAAATCAACAAGAGTTTCTTTTGAATGCTGTGGGTACAAGTCAAATAAATGAAGGGAGTGAATGAGTGTTGCACCAAGTTTTTTTAAAAATGCACATTCATTTACAGATTCATAGTATTGCAGAATATTAATCTACTTCAATTTTGTGGGACCTGCAATTTTGACAAATATTCTTTTCACCCAAGTTGTGAATAAAAGTATTGAAGAGTAGAGAACCCAGGACTGATTTGTGTAATACCCCACTTAATACTTCTCAATCTGATGAGGAGCCACTGAGAGATTAGGATTCATAGCCTGGAATCCGTCTTTAGGTTACGGGTTACTGCAGAGGCTAGCAGGAGGTTTTCCATTTACAATGTACTGCTGGTTCCTGGCTAGTTATCTCTCTGTTCACTAAATCACACCTTGAAAAACATTGGGAAACTTCAGTGGGTCCAAACTGTGCTGTACTGCCTCCTAACCCTATCATTCCCACCCTGAAATAACTGCTTTTTATGTTACAACTATTTTATATTGTAAGTGTTGTATATTAGCATTGTACTTTACCTTTATAATTCTTAATGCCAATATAAAATATATCCCTTTTATCTCCTGGCCATGAAGAAAGCAGTAACTTCCATTCTCATTCTTGCAGCTCTTGAGCTTCCAGAAGAAGCAATCCAGTTTCTGGACATTTGAATATTATCAGGCCTTCTTCAATGTTGACACATACCAGGTACTAGAATCCATGTAGTCCACGTTTTGAAGGCAAACCCAAGAAGCAAATTGTGAAATCAGTTCTAATATGTGCCAAAATTGATACAAGCACCTTGAATTTTTTTTGTTTAGAATAACCAAACCCTAAAATGCAGGAAATAGAATTTAAACATAGCAATCATTTAAATATTCTTTTAATTAAACAATTCTTTCACCTAATGATTTTTGAGCAAAATCCAATATTGTACTGGTCCAGAGGCACTAAAAAGATAAAATACTGAGTAAACACTTCAAGGTTTTGTCCTCATGCCCAGTATGGAAGAGGAGGAGGATTAGAGCATCCTGGATGTCTGGAGCTTGGACAAATTGTTGTTCCCTGTGCTTCTGAAGTCTGTTTATGTGACAGGACTTTCTCCCCTCCTCTCCCCCTGCCCTGCATTTGTTTCAGATGGCTCCTTTGTGAACTCCAAGGGATAAGTTCCACAGACTAAAGCTGTTTATGAGCAAAAATACTGTTTTACACACAACATTGGTTTTTAATTGGAACCAAAATACTTCGTTATAAACAGGACGTTTTGTGCAAGATCTAAACTCTCGTAGAAATTCAAATTATTAGAAACTATGAATTAAATTCTTTAAAAGAGGGGGAGGGCATGAGTTCCCAATTCCTCTTACCAGCAGCCTACAAGAGTGAACTCCTTAACTCCCTCATTACTGAATCAAACTGAATTAAAAGGGTCTGCTTAGTCTTACCTGTTTTGAATCTAAAATATTGTAGTATATGTAGAAAGGACCAGTACACTTGGAGAAAATATTGTGATAGAAATGTTCTCATTTACTCATGACTAATCCCTCATGACTCAGTCCTTATAGTGGAACTTACAGCCTCCATGGAACTTACATTTAAGGTCTCTTCATGTAAACAGTTGAAAATAAACTGTTGTATTTTAAAAGCTATTTCTCTTCTAAAGTTTTGTCTCACGTCCATCTTTTCCTATCCAAGCCATTCCAAGAATGACTGTTGTGAAAATGTGCTTATATTACAAATACAGTAGTATTGAACTTACCATATGTCAGTGTTAATTCATTTTGGATTTTCCCTTAAAAGTTTTGTTTCCTAAAAACAAAAAACATGAAAAAAATTGGTACCAAAATCTCTTTCCTCTGTTCATTTATTGCCTTCTCTTTTGTTGTGTTACTTGGGAAGAAAGAGATATAATATTGGAAACTGCAAAAACCTGTCAGGATACTGGGTGTGGCTGGATATACAAGTGGAATATACTAAGTAAAAAAAGGACTAGATAATCAAATAGATTATTTTGGTTCTGATTTTTTGATTTCCTGGTCAGAAGCAGAGCCCTACAACTCAGCAGTCCATGTTGTGCTGTGAATCTGGTTTGGTTTCAAAAACAGCTTGTGAAAATAGAATTGTCATTCCATTCCATCTCCTTAATTCAACATAAGGATTTTCCTTTTAAGATAATATTTTCAATAGCTGAAATTCAGTTGAAATACTCTCAATGTAGGTTATCAAAACTGTCTTAAAATGAGTATACATGAACTTGCCCTGCATCTGTGGTATCAGTATGATGTTGTAATTGGAAAATTGAGTTGATACTTTGTCTCCCATCCATTGTGCGTTTGCTTTGAAGGAGACTATTATGAGTCTCATTTCCATTCTGGAACAATGGTGTCTAATATAAGGCCTGGTGTGTGTGTTCATGGCCTCCAATAGTCCTTTTGTCACCTGATAGAAACTCTGGATACCTATTAAACGTAGCAGGGACTCCATCCTTTGGGGGCTGTAAAAACATTTGAGAATATCTTGAGGAAGCTCTTGAAAATTGGCTGCTGTAGGGGGTATGCCCATACACAAGTCAGCTGTTATAGGAGACACATCCACTAAATAAATCACAGCTTACCAGAATGCAACCTGCCATTTCCGCTGCTCTCCCTCCATGTAGAATCCTCCCTACTATCCCTGCTTACCTTTTCTCTTTTTCCAGGCAGGTGGACATACTTCCAGAGTATTGGGCTGCAGCTGTGCATATGTTTTAAAGTTTTCTAAGCAAGCATTATGCAGCCCATTTGAGATAAGTATGGTGCTGAAAGCTGGCCCTTCAACATGCCATTTTTAATATAAAAATATCAAGGCAGGAAGCATGTGGGTTGCTAAGGGACGTTTTTGTAAGCATACTGGCACCAACAGTGTGGCCAACCCAACAGTTATAGAGCACGTAGGAGTTAAATTGCTGAGGCCTGCTCTTTTCCTATTTATCAGGTGCTGGACAGAATAAAAGGCTCCCTGCTTCCACTACCGGGGAAAAACTTTGTATGGCATCACTTGCAGAACAATCCTGACCTCTATGGTGAGTCCAGAGAAGTTCCTACTCTAGTAACATTCTCCTTTACTTCAAAGGCTAGAAACTATGAGACCTAGAACAAAAGTTGCTTCTTGCTTGCTTCTTGCTTGATCTTTGCAGATGCAAGACAAAAGGCCTCTGCAAAAGGCCTCAGATCTTGCTAATTTTCCATTTACTTGGTCTGTCAAATGCATACAAGGCATGTAGCAGTCCTTGGTTTTCAGCCCATTAGAGCAGAGCTGGGAAAGGCCATAGAGGATTTCTAGCAGTCACGAGTAGTAGGCTGAAGCAGAGTAACTGCCTTGGCAGTAGGATAACTTTTTTTCAAGGATGGTTCCAGTTCCTAGATGGCCTCAGGTTCTGGGCTGAAATACTTGTCTCATTCTGAAAGTGCTGCTGAGTTTCAAACATTTTTGCTAAAGTGCTATTTTCTCCTTACCCTTGTCCCTGATAATGGAAATCTAGGAGCTTTGGTGCTGTTGGTCCTCATAACTGTCCTCAAACCCTATCCTTCCTCATACAATATGAAAAATAAGATTAAGGAAGGTGGCAAAACCTCTCGGTACCCAATTCTTTTTTTGTTGGAGGTATTATGAAAAATGGGCTTTCCTGTTTCCATCCTGTGCTCTCTGCTAACCCAGGAGGCCTGTCTCCTTATGAAAACACTTTTGTTCTTTTCTTTGTTGTTTTTTTGGCGCTCACAGGACCCTTCTGGATCTGTGCCACATTGGTGTTCACACTAGCCATCAGTGGCAATTTATCTAACTTCCTGGAAAAAAGAGGCAGCTCCTCCTTCCACTACAGCCCTCAATTCCACAAAGGTGAGATTTTGACATGGGAATCCGTCTTGAGACTTGAGTTCTGAGGACAGTATACTACTGGTATAATTGTACTTCTAATCATTTTTCTGTATACAGTTGGCCATGGTGTAGCCGTATCAGTTGGTAAGATAAATATGCAGAAAAAATAATAATATATATGTTGCCTGTTGAGCATTTTGGGGCATACTGATGAATGTCTCTTGTATGGCCATAAGAAGAAAGTAGTTTCTTCTCTTCTCTTGTACCTGAAATGTGCAAAATGGAGAGGTGGTATTAAAAATGTAGAAATCATGGCTTCCAGCTTTTCTTCACTCCTCTTAGAATTGGGACAAACACGTCTTGTTTACTTGCCAGTACCGAGAGCCAGTTTGTGCTGGCCTAGAAACCAGGAGACTGTGAGTCTGCCTTAGGCATGAAAGCCAGTTGGGTTACTTTGGGCCAGTCACCCACTCTCAGCCCAAGCCAGCTCACAAGGTGGTGGTTGTGGGGAAAATAGGAGGAGGAAGGAGTATTAGGTATGTTCACCGCCTTGAGTTATATATAAAAAAGGTGGGATAAAAATTATTATAAAAAAATTATTAATAAACTTCTGCCTATCCCAGGTCCTTGGGAAGGACTTGATAGGTGGATAAAAATGCCAGATACAGTCTAGACATCTGGCTGACTGCACGAACAACCATAATAATAATAATAAAGGGCTACTTTATAGATTATCATCATACATTATGGTTGGCTTATTCTAAGACTTCTCACTCCCTTCTTTCTAGAAACAATAGAAGGCTATGACAGATGTTTTAATTTCAGTTTTTGCTAGGGCTGTAGTGAGTGGTGCATTTAATATAGTTTTTTTCCTTGTGCAGTGACTATTGCAGGCATAGTTATCTACTGCTATGCCTGGCTGGTACCCTTGGGTCTGTGGGGCTATCTACAGTGGCGAAAGGGAGCCCATGTCACCACTGATGCGTACACTTTCCTGGAAATGGTGTGCATTTATGGCTACTCGCTCTTTGTGTACATCCCTACTGCGGTGAGTTGGCAGGGCATTTGGCAGATTCATCACATTCATTCTCTGTAGAATATATTCTTGCAAAGAGTTGCCATTTTTTGAGGATGAATTCCTCTTCAAGTCAACCTTAAGAATTTTGGCAGACTACTGATTCACTATCACCTTCGTTCATAGGTTCTGTGGCTAATCCCTATACTGTGGCTGCAGTGGCTCCTGATCATACTTGCAATGGGGTTGTCAGGCTCACTTCTGGTCCTTACCTTCTGGCCAGTTATCCGTTCAGACACCAAGCCAGCTGCCTGTGCCATAATGGCCATTATTGTTTCTCTTCATATCCTCCTAGCTATTGGTTGCAAGGTATGTATCTTCTGCACTGCAGTAATGTATTTCAGTTGCTAGGAGAAACAGCTATGGAGCCGCACAATAAACATGTTTACGGTTTTGCTTTTTGAGCCTAGATTACTGTTTTTTTCTCTTTACATATTTTGTGAAAGACAGTTTGACTTGTATGTGTTTCTGTTGGGGTTTATAAACCTTTTTCTACCTAATCTCTTTTTCTGTGGATTGTGTTAAATTCAGAGTCGTCTTAATTGGGGCAAATGCAGTACCCTGTAATGCATATCTCTAAGTAGAAAATAAAGGTTAAAATGCTTTCAAGGTGTGTAGTTCTAGAAATAAGCAGGTTGCAGGATATAGGATGTTAGAGCACTGAACATTACTGAGTATTATGTAACTCATGGGACTATCCTGAAGGTGGAGGGGGAGAGAGAGAGAGAGAATGAGTAATATCTGTGAAGCCAGGGACTGGAATAAAAAAGTCTCTGTTTTGCTTCTTTGAGCATTCTAAGAAATTGGTAAGGACAGCTGTTATGATGAAATCCAGATTGTTGTTTGGAAGGGTGGGAGGGGGAGTCCTATTGGATCCTGCTTCACCCAATTTAATCTTGTCTTTTTGAAGCTCTATTTCTTTCAGAAACCAAGCATCACATCTCCTGCTGCTACGACTTACACAACAGCAGCTCAGCAGAACAGAAGCATACACCCTCATCTGGCTACTTCCTCCAGCACTGCAGCAGTGGGAAAGTGAATCTGGTAAGAACCTGCACTAGACTTTGAAAAAACTACTGGGGCATCAGATATTTTAGTTCAAGTATTACTGTTCCCTTACTCATCCATATCAATGGAAATGCAGAATCATAGTACTGCTGGAACAGGTTTGACCTTTAGATCCCTTCCCAATATCTGTCCTACTGAATTGCTTCTTTTACAGCCACTGATCACGAATATCCAGTCTCAGGGAAGAGCACACCACTGAAGTAATCCACTCGAGAGACAGGAAAAACCCTGACCTGAAAGAGGATCTTCCCCAGTGGGCCAAGCAAGGTCATACGCCACCATTTCAAGACTCATTGTTTTGCTACTGCCAGCCAGAGCATGCCAGCAGTTGGCTTGATTTGGAAAGCAGCTCACCTTGGAAGCCATTTGGGAGGCCTGGCAGATCTAAGCATCCAGAGCAGCTTTGGTTGATGCAGCTGCCCCTTGCTCTGCTGTAGCAGGATGGCCTGTCGCAGTAGGGCAGAAGAGAAGGGCTGCGTGAAGGGTTTGTTGCATCTCTTTAACAGTAGGGGAAAAACTGAGGAAAATTTAACTAAATGGGTGCATTCCTGTGGGTTTAGTGAACAATTTCTTTGCAGGAAAGGTTCTTGTATAAGAAGGCAAAACATCACTTAAAAGATTAACCATTTGATTCATTTGGTATACAAGGCTAATTTGAATTAAACTTTCATCTTTAAAACTTTCTAGAAAGTTTATTCTAAACTTTCATACACTAGCTTTTCCTTAACTTCCTATATTAATACAGATCAGAGCTCTGCAGTGATGTCTGTTAAAAAGTCAGTACTTCTGTATCCAACACTTGTCTGTGAGTGTGGCTTGTGATTGTGTTGAAAGTAGCTGCACAAAGCCTAGCAGGGAATGAGTGAATTATTTCCTAAGGTCCCTTCTGGGCTTAACTGTGACTAGAAGAGAGAAATAGGCAGCTCCTTAGCAACGTAAGGAAAGTCAAATCAATCAAGGACACTTTGGCCAGGAATGCATTTCTCTCAACTGCACTTCAAAACAGGATTGTCCAGTAAATATGTGAATACAAATAAACTTTTAAGCTGTTCCATCTAAACCTGGGATTGGGAAACCAGCCACTACAAACAGATCTTCAAAACCCTCCCAGTTTTATTCGATAGTCACAAAATCATTGATCAGCCAGACCCAACAATTGGCTGTATAGACCCACAATCCAGCCACTATGAAGGTTCTCCAGAAAGGTCCCTCCCCCCTCCCCCCCGGTTCAGCCAGTATTGGGAGCCAAAGGACATGGTCTTAAGTGAACCACTTCTCTCCTCCATAAAATAGTTCCTTGTCAAGTCCTTTCGGTAATGCCGGCTTGAGGCTCTTCAGAAGGAAAAAAGAAATGGTTACAAATTACACACAAAGTACTACAAAGGGACCCCATAACAGATGCCAATCTATTCTAGAGCCCCTGGTGGCTACCGCAGGAAGCAGACAAGTCTACATACTAAACCACTTGGCACCCACTTCTGCCCAGGGGAGGGGAGGGGCTAGTCACAGCAGCTGCCACACCTTAAGAACAGAGCAGAAATGGGATTAGGGTTAAGATGAGCAACAGGAAATTGATACACAAACCATCCATTTTCAGCCAGCAAATTTTTTTTTGGTACATTCGTGTTTTTTAACCCCTTGATGCTACATCAAAATTCCCAAGAAACAGGCAATCATCAGACCTGCTGATAAGATGCTTGTGGCACATAAAACAGTCTTCTCTCATCTCGGATGTTCTTCACATGGCCCAAGACTTACAGCAGTAAGATGCTGGAGCTTTGCTGACAGCCAGGAGGGGTATGGGTCTTTGCCTTTCCCTCACAGCAGGAGACACTCCTCCTAAGTCTTAATAATGCAACAAACACTAGCCCAGAGACTGGGATGCCTAAGAAATCAACATGGATAGGCTGCTGGATTCTTACCTGTGCCCATTCTACAGCCAGCTGCAGCCCCTTCATTTAAAATACTGGGAGTAGCGATAAATGCTCAAGTTAACTGCTGTTGGTGGGCTGCCTAGAGCATGCTAGAGGCCCTGTGGCAGTTCTGCTCTACAGCCTGTGCCTAATGCCAATCAGTCATGGCAGACTGAAGAGTGATACTATTAGTGACATGATCGGTTGTAAGACACAGTAAGCACAGGAACTCAGTCATGGTTGAGCAAGTTGAAGTTTCCAACATTTCATAAAAAAAGTATACAAGTCCGCTATCAAAGAGCCAGTGGGTTTGTCTTCTATTGTACAAGGATAAGAACATCTCTGGGGAACCTATTGGAGGGTAGAAGAGATCCAGAGAATTGACTGCCAACTGTTGAGGTACAGCAGGCAGGTGGGCAGGGAGGCGGAACTTTTTCTTCATTTGGTTTCCTGGTGCTGTCAGTTCAGGGATGAGGGTCTCTTAGCTCCCATAATGCATTGTGTTGGTGGTGATAGACATGGGGGACGCCATAGAAATGGCTGGCCCCCCCATAGTGAATTGACTGTTGACCGGGTAATGAGCAGTTGATGTTCCTCCACTCTGACCACTAGACGAGCCTGTAGCAGGAGAGAAAAGCAGCTTCAGCTTGATACAGCAGAAGGAATTCTAGTCCTCAGTAAAAAGAAAGGTCTAAGCACAACTAGCCACCTATTTTCTAAAAGTGGATCCAGATCCATTTCTGAACTGGCAAGTTTCAATTTAAAATCAAAATATAATTGGCAAAATGTAGTTTTGATGCCATGGGGGGTGGGGATGACAAATAGAAAAATGGAGATAGTCCTGTGGCATCTCAGCACCCAGTCTATAAGGAAGAGTTTGCTGCCTCTGATGCATGAAGAGGACTGAAGAAGTGCAAATGGGCTTGATTGTTCCATTCTAGTCTGTTATGCACCAAAGGCAGCAGGCTCTTTCCCCTGAAAACTCAAGCCAGAATAAACCAGTCAATAACCACAGTGCCCCCAAACCTGCCTTGATGCAAACTGGTCTGATACCAAAATGAGCTATTAGCATTTACTCCATCTGGAATTTTATCTAGCTTAATTTCAATTTCAGGGATAAAGTCAGTTTCAAAATGTACTGTAGAAGTATTTGCCCCTTCTCAAACCCAACATGCTGCCTGCTACTTTTCTCAGCCGAAGTGTTCAAAATCCTACAGAGGAGAAGAGAGCACACAGGCCCGCTTTCCCCTCAGTTCCAAAAAAGCCCAAGGGCAGGTTTACCTTGGACAATCCCTGTGCTCATGATGGATCCCATCCGGGAATGGGTGTGATTGACAATCCCAGTGTTGGCTGCTTGGGAAAAAAGAAAAATACTCAGACAGGCCTAATCTCTGCACTGGGCTACTTCACCTTTAACATCTTTCCACCATCTGCAAGTACACATTACAGATGCCTCACCCATCTCCAGCCCAAAAGCAGGCCACGTGCGAAAGGTCTACTCTCTTAGTCTGCATCTGATTAATAACAACTCTGCGAGTCATCATAAATGGGAATGGAGCTTGGGGATTGGTAATTCTGTCTCCAGCATTTACTTGAAAGCCAAGCACAAGCCATTTCTCACAGGATAAAGGGGAGGGGGCAACTGGAATTTTAAATTTTAGAAATCTAAAGTTGAGCTGAATGTGACTGACATTCATCTCTTCCTAGCCTCCCTGGATGCATTACTCTTCCAGTTTAACATAAGAATCTACTGCTTAGATATACTTGCATTGTTACAGCCTACTGAAGTCTTAGTGTGACAAAGAAGAAACAGTCTTGATAGAACTATGCAAGGAGAAGTGGATTTGACTTCAGTGAACGGGGGGATCAGAAGTGTCGTATCCCAAGGGTGTTCCAGAATATAGCCCTTTACTTGTTCTGACCCTAAAAGTAACAGTTATAATTTGTTCTTATCAGTGGAACTCTTATCAGTAAGGTGGCTGTGAGGATGGTCTAACCATCAACAATAGGTATCTCCTGTAAAATTAGCTCAAATATAAAGTTTCCTTTAAGAAAAAAAATTCATTTGATTTGGTAAAAACCTAGTGTCAGTAAGCTTCTTTTGAGTCATGTGGAAATCTTCTCATGTTTCAACCCTGTAACCAACAACCCTAAACTTTTCTCATCCAGGATACCTTGGCCCTGAATATGCCCAGCAGATATTTGGGAGCTTTTTCCCAAATCTGCCATAAATGGGCAACCAGATGAAGAGATTCAGCCCTCTTCACACTGTGGTATGTGCAAAAGGACTTGTGGGAATGTAGTTAAGCACTCTTTCTCATCAGCTTTGAAAACACATAAGTGGCAGATTTCTTTTGTTCTCTTGATACACTGATTCATGTAGGTGCTTGCCTCCTCCTTGCAGCATTAATATTTTATCTAACTACCCATGCTGCAAGAAATGGCTTGAAATTCAGCTCTCTTCTGCCTATTGCTGAATGAGTCTCCTCCCCATGAGCAAACATATTTTCATGTAGGAAACTAATTTTTTTAGGTTTGCAAGGACATAGTCCTCCATACAGTACGTTGTTTCTTCCCATTCTTTTCCACATGCCCAAGGCAAAATTATGCAGCACACCTTTAATGCTCTATCTGATAACTTGAGAGCTCTGACCACGACAACTGTATCTGACAAACCGAATGACTAGCACTGTTGGAAGCAGTTTATCACAAACACCATGAGAAGAAGCACACTTGATTCACTCACTCAGCAAGATGCCATGACTTTGATTCTTATTTCTATTAAAGGTGTCTCCAGAACAGAGATAAATGGAAGAAAGGGATTCAAATCCACTTTGCTGATAAGGTTCATTAATAAAACCTTTTAATACTCGACAGGAGCAGTTCTTACTACAACTTCAGGCTGTGTAATGTCCACCTATCCCCTATATGGCCACTTTTATTCTCAAGGTTGTGCTGGAGTTTCACTCCTCAAGAGGTATTAATGTGACCAAAGCATGAGCATACTGGGTGCCTGGAAAGCTCTGTCCTTTCTGCTAGAAAACAGTCCTGGGTCACTACTTTTCATCCCAACAGGGGCTACAATTTTTATTTATATATTATTAGATTTGTATCCATAGGCTATTATCCTCCGATATCCTGTAGGTGAACAGTCTATTCCAACAAGGGCCGCTCCACTAGAGGAACTGCTAGCTCTTCTACTTCGTCTTAAGTCACTGAGCTCTGCAGTGATGTTGCCTGGTCTACACTGTACACTTATATGAAAACATAATCCCTTTAAGTATTTAAACATGTGGAGCCCAGCTTTGACAGGTCTGTTCTGCAGATCCTGTTTTCATTAGGGCATCATCACCCATCAGGAAAACCAGCTTATACTGCTTGTAAAATTAGGCAGACTTTGATTGTGCGTTGATGAACCCACCACCAATTGTATTATTTTTTATCCTGTTTTGTTTTTACTAATTTTTATTTTTTAATGTGCTAATTCTGGTCTGTGACTATAGTAAAAATTCTATTCTATTCAGGGAAATCAGCTTGCTAGATACCCAGATATTAATATACACAGACCACAAGGGGAAAAAACAGGGGTAATGAGATTAACTCTATTACATTTGCTGACTTCTAGCCATAATAGTTTTATCTATTTTATCTATCTATACATAATCTGTCAATTGTGATACAGGTTCTCAGGGTTGTGTTACTAATGCAAATAG